TCCGCACCAGAAGTGCAATGCTACCACCACGAGCCCTTATTCTAACTTTTCGCACGGTATTGAAACCCGGAAAATCAAATTTAGTATCACAATTCAGCCAAGTTTCTACGCAAACAAACAGATCAACATTTGTCAATATTTTTTCTATTTCTTCTTTTTTATGTGCGGCGGCTCTAGCATTCCAAAACAAAACCCGTAGGTTTGTGGGGGTGGCATTGCCCGTGGAATTTGTCTTATTGTATGTGTTCATTATACTATTTATGTATAAACCGGAATTAATATAGAGTGATTGGTTAGATAGGATAGATAAGGTGTTTAATACTTAAATAAGGATTGCCCTATTAGTTGTTGTTCTTGTCTTCAATACAGTCGTCTTCAGTGTTGGAAAAAAAATCTTCAGCATCTGTGATATCTTCAGCAAGCAAGTAAGTCACTATTTTAGTGATTCGGCTTTTCAATTCAGCTATCGTTATATACCTGCGAGTTTCTTCCAGCATGATTGCTAGAGAATTCAAATTGGTGACGTACTCTGATGCCAGCTCCTTAATTTCTTTGTTTTTAGTCGAGTAGGCTCGATCCAGAAAAAGAGTTAACGCATCAAAGTCAATAGGGAAGATAGCTGCTTTATCTTCAGGTATTTTCTCTTTGGCTGATTTTATTTGAATGTCGAGCTCAGCAAGTGGCCCTTTGGCTTGTTTACTTTTCTTTTTCTGTGACTCTTTTTTGGTTTTCTTCATTATCGGCACTGCTTTGTCATCATTCACTGCAATGGTCGATCCAGTGCTAGTAGATAGTAATCGTTTGTTTATTCTTGAAGGTTTGGTCATGAAAGGTTGTTTGAAGAGAACTGTCCCATTGAATTCCAGCTTACTCTTTTCAGGGTCTTGATCTTTTATTGCAGCAGTGTTTTTATTTGCTCCATTGCCGGGAGATAAGGTTTCTTCAGGAGGGCAGTCATTATTATCAGTAGGGAAATTACTTGTCTTAGGATCTGCGATCTCAGAGTTGTATGTATCTGGGGGGGGGGCACCTCGGATTGTTCTGCTTTGCAGTACTTCGCCGTATGGCCCTCTTGTTGACAAATAAAGCAGGTTATTTTGTCTGTGGATGCGTAAATGTGGTAAAGAGTGTCTTCGTAGTTCACTGTCAATTCCTTAGGCAGTTTATTTATATCGTCAGGGTCAATATACATTTGTCTGCGGAAGCTCATTATATTCTGAAAGCCTGGTTCATCAAATCCAAGTCTTATAGTACTCATACTTGACTTCGCGGAAATTCCTGCCTCTTTAACTTTTTTCATAATTTCGTCGTGTGGGATGCATGGATGCACATTGGAAAAAATTACCCTCTTCGATTGGGAGACGTAGGGTCTCATGTATACCTTTTGTCCACCAATATCAATCATGTTGTTTCCATCTTTTGTTATTTCTTCTACTAATTGAGCACTGTTGAGGTAACAACAAAATCTGTTCTGAGCTATTTTAATTTGTTGAATTTTATTGGCTGAGTATATCGATGGGTGGAGACTTTTCGCCATCAACTGCCTCCAGGCTCGGACTAGGTTTCGCCCCCGAGGGCGTCGGCGTGTAGACGACCTGGTGCGTTACCTTCTCGAGCACTTTCTCCATACGGTCCAACCTGTCGCTGACCTCCGGTTTGTCACTGCACATCGCTGCCACCTTGCCCTTACGATCTTTCCTTCCATCGGTGCGAGGGTGGTACCCTAACTCTGGGTACAGAGTTTACTGAGGGTCTGGTACCACCCATTCTACCCTTCGCTGGTGTAAGCTGTTCTGGGCCGCCGTGGCCAGCGCGTTCAGGGTCCGTATGAAGTTCACTTCGGACCTCCGCACTTGACCTTGAATGTCCGGGAGAAGGTTGGCGTGCAGCAGGTCCAATTGACTATCAGGCGTCATCTGGGGGCTTAGCCGCTTCATCAGACCCATCATGTTAACGACGTAAACATTCACTGGTTCGTCGGGGCCCTGATATCGGCTCTGAATCTCCTTCATTAGACGCTGCTGCTGCTGCACGTTGGTCCCAAACCACTCTCTTGCGTCCATCTCGAACTCAGCGTGGGAGAGCCATTCCTCCCTCATCGCACCGTACCAGGTAAGGCCGGGACCGACGAGTAGCTCTGACACGGCTAGGAGCATCTCGTCTTCCGTGAGTCCTGCGCCATTCCTCAAGTTATCCAGCCTAGACAGGAAGGTGTCTATACTAGCATTGCCCTCTCCTGAAAACTTGAGTTTCCATCCTCGGTCAATGCGACCAACATCCCTTGTAGTCGACCAAGGGTTTGGTGTCGGCTGAGATGACCACGTGCTCGGTGGGTGGTTATTTACTTCAGCATTAACTCCACTGAGTTGATGCTGTCCACCCTCTCCGAAAGGGAGCGTCCGGCGGGGGGTCCTGCCGGTGGCCCCCGTGGGCCTCTGCCCGGGTCCAGCTGGAGTACTTTGAGGTAATCTGGTGTCGTAATGGTAGGTGAAAGTATCCAGGAATACTACGCTCCTACGTGTGTTCTCTTGGTGTCGCATTTCGCTGGAATTATTCGCATCGTCTTGCTGTACGTTTATGTTTTCGGCATTTTTCAATGCGCTCATCCTGGCGAATAGGTCGTCCAGTTGGCTTTTCACATTGCTACAGTTGTTGTATATTTGGTCTAATACCTTCGTTAGACTCGACACATTCACTCTTAATGAATCTAGCAGCTCTAACTTCTTCTCATTCTCTCTGGACCGGAAAATAAGATCTTGAATCATCACAGCGAATGAAACTTTTTTCAGTGGTGCTTGTATCAATCAGCAGGAACTGGGAATCGATCCCGGGCCTACCGGGTGCGAGTCCGTCGCCCTACCGACCGAGCCATTGCAGGCCTCTAATATATTTATTACTGCTCGTGCTCTCGCCGTCGTCCAGTACGTTTGTGATGTTTATCGCTGTTTCTTGAATTCGCGATATTACTTCCGCACTCTGCATTAGCTGGGCTAGCGGGTGTTCTCCTTCTTGCTCGGATGCTGTGTGTTCCGCGCATAAGGATACTATCAGCTCCGAGCATACGGCTGCCCTTCTTGCCGGATTGCTGTGCTGGTTGTCGACTTGAGCTCCAGGTGTTCGAGGTATTCGTTAATTTCCACGTCTTGGAGCGTCAACACCCAGTCTTCTACCTCTTTTCGAGTGCGGTCCATTGTCTTCTGTTAGTTGTGTTGCGGCTAATTTTTAACGAAAATTTACACGCTTGTTCCACGTGTGATGCGAGTGCGAGTGCTATTTTAAAAATCGGTAAACAAGTAAAAATTTAGACTTTATTAGCCGACAGTAGGCTCAACCAAGGGTATTTACTATTGTATTTACCGAAAGGCTCTTTTCTCGTTATTCCGCAATATAGTGATCGTGCCTATCAGGCGCACTAACTGTTTGTTAGCGCGGCTGTGTTGGTTAGTATCTAAAATATTATAGCGAGCGTCTATTTGCGTAATCACCAATAACCGCAGTTAACAATATTTACAAATTACGTTTACGTTACGACAACACGATATCAAATAAAATTACCGATTTGAATTTCTTTTGTTTGAATGTTGCCGGTGTTAGTTTTCCCCGGGCCAACGGGTACAATCTTTATTTGCGGCAACTTTCAAAACTTATTGGTGTTTACGCTTGGTTAAGAGTCGTTCGGTCGCACTCGCACGTGCTCACAGCGACTGTTTACAATTTATCGTCGCGGCGGGCCTTCGCAAGCTAACTAACAGAGAGGCTATGTTTACTATGTGTCTTTTAATACAAAGTGCGTACAACAACACTTTGATTGCCACCTAAGTCGCTGGTTGACTGAGTGCGAAGTCAATGTTTAGAACCGGCGTTTTGAACAATCATAAACGCCTTAGGTTCTTTTACGTTGGGCGCCATGTAACGGGGTTGATAACGTTTATTTATTTTAATGCGCGCGATCGTATCGAAGAGCGCGCGTGATTACCTATACGTTCAAACACGAAAACCGGAGAGTAGGAGGGAACGAGTATCAGTCAACCAACTATCTACTATTGAAATAAATACGATGAAATTCTAATCAATATCACATGCGAGAACATTTATTGCCTCTTAATACTACACTGTATTCGGCCCGCGTGTTTATGTTTACATGCCGTGCGCGACAACAACATACAGTGTCGGATCGCTCGCCGCTCTTTCTTTGCCGAGATAATACATGCACGTTTTCTATCGAGTCGAGAGATTAGTCATTTAGCAATTCTGTCGCGATCGCGAAATTAAGCTGGCCAGCTTACCTTGTTAGCAGTTTTACGATGACACGGAAATAAAAGCGCTCGCACCCTAGTTGCGGAAAAGTCAGTCTTTGTGGCGAGGTATCTCGCGTTTTCAGTTTCGCCCTCGATGACGAAACTGCTCACTCACGCACGCTAGTACGCACTCAGCTCCGTCAGGCTATGGCACAGCTCGTCTCTGGTTATCTCTGCACTCTGGAAAACTCGGAAAAACTCTCATCCTTCTTGGTAGCAGCTAAGTGTGCGGGTTCTAATCTTTCACTCTTGGCTAAACGTGCCGGTAGCTAATCCTCTACTGGTTCATATTCGTACGCGCGCGTTCCGTTACGTCTCGTATCGAATTCCCTCAATACATTTAGCCCCATAGTTGGGCTGATAGCGCTAATATGACGTTTACCGTCACAACACTTATAGTTTGTATAAAATTGTCAATAATTTTACTTATGTGACGCTTTGCGGAGGGTCGGTAAAATGATTTGCAGGTTAAAAATTATTATTTACCAAAGATATAAAAACATTAACCGAAAGATATTTTTCATTCGAATTCAGCGAGGTCCTTTTAGAAAACAATTCAACATAGTTTATCTAAATTTCTCTTTCGTTACATAGAGGATGTACAAATGAAAGATGATGATAAAGAAATTGAATGTAAGAAACCAAAATACCATAATCCAAATATTATTTTTTCTAATTATAAATATATATTTTCTTTTTAAGATGAGAAATGTAACTATCGTAGACCATCATACAGCTTCTGAATCTTTCATGAAACATTTTGAAAATGAATTAAAATTAAGAAATGGATGTCCAGCCGATTGGATTTGGATTGTACCGCCATTATCAGGATCATCTACAACAGTTTTTCATCAGGAGATGGCTCTATATCATCTCAAACCATCATACAATACACAAGTAAGAATCTTATTAAATTGAATCTTATGCAATTTTTATTCTCGCAAAAAAAAAACTATTCAAAAATCCAACGGAAAAATTTTTGCTTGCATAATTTTGATCATTTAACATTTTTTTGCGCACTTAGAGCAACCAAAATAACCGTTATATTGTACAATACTCTAAATAATTACGCGAGCACTCGCATCAATATAGCAGTAGCATGTATGGTTCTTCATATTGTGAATTTCATTATTTAATTTATATCGAACGTCAATTTTAGAGAATATATTTATCAATTTGATAGAACATTGAAGATAAACATTCATATCCGGCTTAATTTTACCAAACTATAAATCATAAGTTGCTAGTTTGGCAATTCTTATTCCGTATGGCAGCTTTTTCGTAATTATTTGAATCTGTTAAATAGAATAATTGAAACTCTTAAAGCTTAGGCTCCATCACTATTAAAAGTAATTCAAACATAATTTTTGTCTTTTTTTGAGTGGTAAGACCAAATAAATTCTTTATACAAATTAGCATCATTCAAATCATGTAGCTTATCATATTCTTCAGAACTTTTTCATATCATATTATTAATATGTTCATAATCTTATATAATTAAATAATCAAGTTCTATAATGAATAGCGCTGTAACTTAAAACTGTTGTACAAAGAATTTTTTAAATTTATGATTTCACTACAAACATTCGATTATATTTTAAGATCACTTTTGTTGAACTTGTGACGAGAGCAAGCGTTGCGCTTGTTCCCGTCAGTCCAAAGCTGTTACGCTGACGACAGTATAGAGGTGTTAGAAAGAGAGAGATAGATGGGGGCGTGCATGCCCTACGCAAGATTAGGCAGGCGCGCGTTGCGAACCAATTAGCGCATTGGTCGCACGCCGCCTAATAAGTAGGTCAAGTCGGAAGAGAAAAAGAACGACGAAGAAGCTGTAGATCGCGGAAGAGAAAAACGAACGACACAGACGGTAGTAAGTCGAGCAGTCAGTAAGAAGGTTCCCAGTTGATCAGATGGTCAACGGTGCGGAGTAAAAGTGCAGCTGAGGACAAAGGGCCAGCCGAACGCACACACCGCCAAGGGCCGGGGAGGACTGAGAGGACAGAGGACGACTTGTTCCTGTATCTGCTCGGGACGCTACTTGGGAAGCCGGCAGGAGTTGCCCAGGGACGACCAGCAATATCGTGCGCAGGGCGCAGCCAGGCCTCCCGTTCCAGTATCACAGGTCAATTCACGCAAGTTAATCTTTCTCTCTCTCTCTCTCTCTCTCTCTCTTCGACGATGGCACAGTGCATAATTTTAAGTAGGTAGGTAGCAAGACGTGCATACGCCGACTACCTGCCCTAATTACGATTGGTGTCATAAATCGCTCAAGGATAAATCGTTCAGGCGATCCCTCGCCGGACGACTTTCTCTTTTACCTAAATAGCCTAAGTCGGTTTGTCGTTAAGGCAGTCATCTGCCGGGCGACGCGCGATATGTTTTGTATAGATTTGTAAGCGCGATTAGTTAGTTAACTTGTTTTCCATTGTTCTTTAGTGTTAAGACGTGTTCGCAAGACTGTTGTTTATTAGATTAAGAGTCTGTAAAAGCTGATTGTAAGAGTTTATTTTGTAATGCGGTTTATTATTATGCGGTTATTCATGTACGGGTTTGAAATATAAGTGTAAATTGATTTTGATTGGATTTAATTAGATTTTTTTAAATGCAAATTTGTGTTTCGTATATAATTCCCTAACCACTTTCATTTCTTTGTCTTCTCCCCCTTTCCGTCTCACTTGCTATGAGCGAGTGCGACTCACTTGCCCACCTTAAAAAAAATGGTTAATGAATGAGCTTTCGTTACAAACTAATTAAAATAACTGTTATAATTAATATTAAGACGAACAGCATAATATAGAACTCCATTGATAGTTTTGAAATATCTACAAAATGCTTTGTTTCTGATAACCGGTTTATTTTAAATACAACGTTTATACAGGGTGGTCAATTTTAATTGCCTCACTAAGTTTACTCGAATAGTAAACTTTTGCATGAAAAAAGTTTTTGATGGCATATTTAATTCGGCGGGAAATTTTACGTTTAGATAATGTAACATGTGTGGGGGTCCATGAGATCCCCTATCCATCCCCGAGGTCGTTTCTTGGTCAACCTTTTGTTTCAACAGGAATCCCTATTATCTATTGAATATTCGCATTCTACGTTAATTCCTACGTTTAGACAAGGTCATGTCTGTGGGGTCTAAGTGACCCCCACCTCATTTCCAAGGTCATTTTGAGATCAACCTAGGAAAACGTTATTCGCAGCCTAGATCCATTTTTGCGTTTAGATAAGGTAATACGTATAGGATCCAACCTCATTCCGAAGGTCATTTCAAGTTCAACATAAGAGAATATTCAGGAGTTTCAGTAAGGAGTTACCATTAATTTCCGTGCCTCTTACTGGGGTGTTTGTTTACCGTGAATCTTTATTCCTTTCACTGAGGTGCTCGTTTACCGTGAGTTCCTCTGCCTCTCACTGGGGTGCTTGTTTACCGTGAGTCACCATGTCTCTCACTTCTCATCTACGAATTGCTTGTTCAAAGTGGCTACCATTTGCTTCGAGGCACAGATTTAAACGCCTCTGGAAATTTTCAACTGTTCTTAACAACGTTGGACTTCGAATAGCTCTGCAAGCTTGGCGGATGCGAACCATCATATCATTCATCGTTATCAGTCGTTCTCATAAACAACGTTCTTGAGATATCCCCGCAAATAAAAATCTAGCGATATGAGATCCGGTAAACACGGAGGCCAGTCGACCTGACCTCCTCGTCTGATCCATTGTTCTCCGCACGTCACGTCCAAAAACTCACGAACAATTCTTGCGAAATGAGCTGGCGCGCCATCCTGCTTGAACCACAATTTTCTCCTTGTTTCTAGATTAACATCTTGAAACGTTTCTAGTAATCTATCCCTTATCAACTCTAAATATCTGTTTGCATTAACGTTTCCATCGAAGAAATAAGGTCCGATTAAGTAACCGTTTACTATACCACACCATACTATGAGACTCCACCGATATTGTCTATCGACAGATCTGTACCAATGGGGATTTGTATTTGACCAATAATGACAGTTATCTGTTATGGTGACCATTGCTGCAGAACTTCGTCTCATAAGGTTAAATCTCAAAAAATTAGGACTTTTTTGTATCATTCTCAAAGCCTATTGACAGAAGTTGATACGCATAGCAATATGATTTTTGTTTAAGTCTTGGACCACTAATGTGGTAAGTACGAGGGTGATCCGATAAGTACTTAGCCTCACCGCCCGATGGCGCTTTTCTCTCAAAAGAAATATTCTATCACGTAGTACAACCTTCTCGATGGTAACTGTCAAGATTTCAGCCGGATCCGAGTTGTAGTTTATTTTTGAGAGCGTGTGAAAGCAAGTGTGTCCGTTGATTTTTGAAAAATGGAAAAAGAGCAGTATCGGTTGGTGATTCAATTCTTGTTTTTGAAAGGGAAATCGCGCAGCGAAATCAAAAAGCGCGTGGATGCTGTGTACGGTGACTCTTCTCCTTCGATGGCGACCGTCCAAAATTGGTTTAACGAGTTTCAACGTGGTCGCACGTCGATTTTTGAAGAGCCACGTCCAGATGCTCCGAAAACGGCTACCACGGAGGATAACGTGACAAAAATTCACGATCTCGTATTGGCAGATCGACGATTGAAGGTGCGCGAGATAGCTAAGATCGTAAGCATCTCAAAAGACCGCGTGGGTCATGTCTTGCATGAAATTTTGGGCATGAGAAAGCTGTTGGCGCGATGGGTGCCGCGTTTGCTCACTCCGGACAACAAGCGCAACCGTGAGACAACTTCAGAGCAATGTCTGACGCTGTTTAAGCGCAATCCGAAGGAGTTTCTGCGTCGCTTCGTGTCAGTCGACGAAACATGGATCAGCTGGAATATACCAGAGACCAAGGAACAGTCTAAACAGTGGACTTTACCCGGCGAAAGTGCTCCGAAGCAGGCGAAGACTGCCCTATCGGCCGGAAAGGTGATGGCCACCGTTTTCTGGGATTCACAAGGTGTGATCTACATCGACTACCTGAAGAGGGGCAAAACGGTCACAGGGCTGTACTATGACAAATTATTGGGTCGATTCGACGTCGAATTGCAGAAAAAACGGCCTCATTTGGCGAAGAAAAAAGTGCTCTTCCACCATGACAACGCACCGGCTCACACCTCCGCCGTCGCCATGGCCAAATTGGTCGAATTAGGCTACGAACTGCTGCCCCATCTACCGTATTCTCCAGATTTAGCCCGTGCGACTTCTTTTTGTTTCCAAACTTGAAAAAGTCACTCGCCGGGCAGAAATTTGAGTCGAATGAGGAGGTAATCGCTGCCACGGAAGCCTACTTTTCAGACCTCGAGGAAACGTATTTTTCAGACGGGTTAAAGAAGTTGGAGCATCGTTGGGCCAAGTGTATCGAACTAAAATAAAAATGTGACTATGTTGAAAAATAAAACGCCACTTTTCCAAAATTTTCGTTTTTCTTTTGTAGGCTAAGTACTTATCGAACCATCCTCGTATGATGTCGAAGTTTATTATGAATAGACAAAGCTTTTGTTCTAGGTATACCGATTTTGGTGTCTAGTTGTCTGCTGTTGATGTAAGGATCAAGATGGATAGCCGCTAGAACAGTTAATTTGCGAGCATCCATTCTATTAAACTCACGGCGAACAAAATGTCCATTTCGAGCTCGTGGAGTCAGTTGCCGTAAAGTTGTATGATCAAAATATCTTTTATTCAGAAAATGTCGCCCATAAAGTCTTGTCGCTGATCTGTAACGATTACGATACCCTCCGAGAACTAGAATCATATCATAAATTTCTTCGGGAGGATAGTCGGCCATATTCAAAATTTTAACTTCAAAATAGACAATTAATATAATTTTCCACAAACGATCAAAGAGAAGATGCTAGAAAGATGCCACAATAACCAGATCAATAGTAA